AGAGAGAGAGAGAGAGAGACCGGGGAAGAGGAGGGGTGAGAGAGAGAATAGGGGAGCAAAAGTGAAAATGAGGGAAACGAGAGATGAAAGATAGTCAGTGAAAATAGTGAGAGAGACAGAGACAGGGAGACAAAGAGAGAGGGAAAGAAAGAAACAAACAAACAAACAAACAAACAAACCAACAAACAAACAAACAAAACAAACAAACAAACAAACAAACAAAGAGAAAGAAAGAAAGAAAGAAAAAAGAAAGAAGAGAGTCACATAATCCCCTCTTTAAGTAACAAGATCTGTATTATTGTTCTTCGTCGCATTGAAAAACTGTGCGCATTCACATTCATGTAGGAACTATCAGAGGGGGAACAATGGCGGAATTATGCACTGATTTTGTGCATTGAGAGAATATCTCTGAGCTATAGTGCAGGGCCATGATTGAAGTTTAACCCTCTCCGTACACCTGAGGTCATTTTGTACCCCCGGGGTTGTATTCTTAACATTTTGAATAATTCTAGTGAGAAGATCTCTTAGAAACTTTCAACGTTTCTCAAAGAAATCATTTTGACAACTGCTATGCAAATCGTACGGGTCGAGTTAACGAATAAATCTCCTCTTTGAAAAATGGTGGCGCAGAGTTCTCCACGTCGTATGGATACGATAGTAAAACACGACGTACGGATAAGGGTAAACAACGAGGCATTCTTGAACTGTGGGACTATGTTATGGTGTTTGGTAAATTTCTTAAAGATACCACCTCATGATTAGACTGTCTTTTTGAAGATGAACAGTTACTCTATCCGTACGTCGTGTTTAACTATCGTATCCATACGACGTGGGGAACTCTGTGCCACCACTTAACCCTATCCGTACGTCGTGTTTTACTGTCGTATTCATACGACGTGGGGAACTCTGTGCCACCAATTTACCCTATCCGTACGTCGTGTTTTACTATCGTATCCATACGACGTGGGAGACTCTGTGCCACCACTTTCGAAAGAGGAAATTTACTTGTTAATTCAATCAGTACACTTTGCATAGCAGCCTGTAAAAATGATTTTTGAGAAATACTGAAAGTTTCAAAGAGATCTTCGTACTAGTATTTTAAAACGTGAAGAATACAACCCCGGGGTGCAAAATGACCCCAGGGCGTATGGATAGGGTTAATTAAAAATGGATGCTTTTCCTCTATAAAATTACCTTCCAGTGTGTCACGACACGGTGGAATCAGGCGCTCGTCAATTTTTGGATATGTGGAGTTATTAGTTTCAGTTAAATGCGTGTTCATTTATCATGTATAGAAGTCGAGATATTTTCAATTGAAG